TACAAGTTTAGCATTTTTTCTATGAAAAGTGCCGGGTCTCCTTTACGATTTTACGTTTCATTTCCACAAAAACCAAAGAAAACTGTTGTAACTAAATAAATATAACAAAAAATCATTTTTTTTCAATTGTAATAATAAAAATGTTACGTTTTCAGTATTTTTTGTTCAAATACAGCTATGGAACATCAAATACAAAAATTTAACATTCTTTACTAAAACAATGGGGTTGCAAATCATATCGACGGGTGGAAAGTAAATAAAGTTATAATTATTTTATTTCATTTTCGTACTAATCATATCCACAACCTGACATATTTTGTTTTGGAGATTTCACTTTATTTCAATCAATTTTCGCTCGTATAAAAAGCCATCTACGCATGTTTTTGCAAATAGTACGAAGTCAATGCGACCAAGTAACGTTGGTCGATTTTAACGCAGTTGGCTCACTTGTCAACGGCGCGCGCTTACCTTTTAGGTTAAGAAATAGTATATTTCATTACTAGTACGGAATGGTTGTCATTGCAAAGAGTTCCGACAAATGTCTACCCGAGCCGAAGGCGAGGGTTGACAGTCGGAACGAGTTGCAATGACGGTTCCGTACGTGTACTGAACGACTATTTTTAATACAGTTGCGAAAAAATGAAGCAATTTAATCAAATTATAAAAACACAATAAACTCAATTAACTAATCATTTATTTCTTATAAAAGTTATAATTCACATATACATTGAAATTGGTACAGTTTTTTATACTAACTGGGAAAGTTTTACGGTGCATATTTACTGTTTGAGACAAACTATTATTAATTTCGTATGATTGTTCATGTATATTTGTCATACAATGGCGTTTGCTAGTTGATGGAATTGGATCTGATGAATTATCATTATCAACGAAGGTACTCGTAGATGGACGAACGTTCTCTTCAGCATGTGAAGGAGACGGACTGGACCTTAAATTAATGGATTGTGTGATCTTTTTCCCAGTTTCTAGTTTGTTGTTTAATGAATCACCAATATAGCTTTCTGCAACTTTGTCCGATTTCCAACCACCTAGTCGCTTTAAGGACGTCAAATTGGCTCCTGAATCTGCCAATAATGTAGCAGAGGTCCTTCTGAAGCTGTGCCCAGTATAACACTCAGCATCCGGCAGACCAAGAAACGTAGCTATTTCTTTTGGCATATTACCAAATTTGTTTATGCCGATTACTTGAGTTGTACACTTCCCTTTTTGGAAATTTTGAAAAAAACGGTCGGATTTTCCTTTTTGGGACCGCTGGTTCATATATTTTTTCACTATTGTGAGAAAATCTCCTTCAACAACAAAGCTTCGCGGTATCTTATTTTTTTGTTTGGAATCTTGATAAGTAGCATTTCTCCATGGGCTTCAATATCTTTTAAAGTAATATTGGCTAACTCCTCTCTGCGGCAAGCTCCACCAACGCCAAAAATCAGAGCAACCTAAAAAAACGATTTGATTCATATAAATAATGTATTGACTGTATTTTGCGATTTTGTAAACTGAACAATAAAGAAAAATGTAGATATGTATACTTATTAATAAATTACCTTTGTGGCTAAATAACAATCATCGGGAGGGGAAAATTTCGGAAAATGGCGCCAACCGCAGAATGTAAGCAGTTTTTTTTCACCCATTCTGGTAGGCAAAGGGAACTGCCCATACAGCCAAGTCTTTAGTACTTAGTATTTTTTATTATAAGAAATGAAATTGAAATTTAATGATATGAAATGAACTGAAACCTTACCTAACTCATTCAATCAATTAATTAATTCTGATATTGGACAAATTAGTATAGGTAGCTTCTTTTTAAAAACAAATAAACCTATTTGCATGAATCGCAAAAACATCAATGATTTTTTTTAGTTAAAACTTCATGGTTGTTTTTTTTAATAGAAATAATTTTGACAGTTGGGAAAGAAAACGCACGAGTTCGGGAAAGGCAAAAAAAAGCACGAGTATGAAATAGCCCAGATCCCGAACGCTACACGTCCCTGCAATACGCCACTTTTTGAGCAACTGTATTAAAAAGTTCTTTCTCTAACGGCAGCAATTTCGAGGTGTTATTCTATTCTCCATTTGCAATAATCCTTACAATTTCAAAATGAATAAAGAACGACGCAAACTGCAATTAGGAAAAATAAGAAAATAACTGGACATCAAGGAAACGGATGGGTTTTTAAAACTAAAAAAATATAATAGCCGTGATACTGAGGCTGCCATGTATAACTATACGGACGGACGTTATGTATGTATACGGATGGTATATATAACTAGACGGAGTATACACGACCAACTGGTAGTTAGCTCAGTTAGCATTTTTTAAAGTACGATGTAAGAACGGCTATCTGCAAAATCTCATAAATTTTCAAGAAATTAGCTAAACTAGCTTAATATACAAATATATAAGAGTATAAATAGATTATGATAAAAATTTTCAGGAGTATTGGTCCACTCATTAGAAAAATAACACACTTTTTCGATCTTTTCGCTCTCCTGTAAAGTTGCTATTTTGCAGATGTCTGTTTTTTAGTTTGCACCCATCGATATGTGGCCCCGGGTACCACATTTAAAAATACGCCCCGCCCAGGTCTCCCCCTTTCGCTGTCCCAAAGCATGCCTAAGACGTCAAGGCTATGTATGAAATATTATTCACATTATACTTTGCCTAGATATTCTATAAAATGTCAAATGCGCAGTGGGCAATTTGTGTAGGTAATCGAAGTTAGAGTCAACTTTCCTTGTTTTATTTATCTTTTAACTATAATTACCTATCAGGTGGCTGGCTTGCCGGCCGCCGCGCCGCGGCACTCAGCTCGCGCTAAATTAACTTAACCCACTGTGTGTTGGTCAAACGTTCATTGGTATGTAGTTCATTTGGTGAGAATTATAGAATCCGTCCGTATTTTTATTTTGAACTGGGTTACGTTGGGTTAAGTTTTTTTTGGACATTTTTTTTTGTTTTTATTTGTTTATGATACATCATACAAAAATACATACAACCCTAAATTTTTCATCCTTCTACCACCAACCCATATTTTTTTATGGCGGTACGGAGTTCGCTGGGACAGCTATTTTCGATGCTTCGAATTTGTATAAAATATAGTTGGAACCATAGATGAATGATTGGTCTCGCTATCATTTATCTATGGTTGGAACATCAATAAGTGCCATTAAATTTTTCCATAAAAAACGAGTAAATTTTGATGCTTCTCGGTTTCGGAATATGCCCAAAGGAATCCCCGATGATAACAGTGAATCCCCATTTCACCTACGGCAGATGAAGTAGTATAGTAGGAGTTATCCGTTAGTCTGCGGAACACTAGCTCTCAGTCTATAATAAAACCACTAAATTTTAAAATACATAGGAACTTATATTATTTTTAATACATATTGCAGAATTAAAATAACGAACATGCGTTCTTCAAATATAGGTATTGTTATGTTTACCAGAAGTTTTAATAGGCTATAAGAAGTTTAATGTTTTGTCATAAGCATAGGTATACATACATATTAAAACTTATGCTTTTACTTACTACTAGGTAGTAAGTATGCTTATGCTGGTAAGTAAGTTTTAATATGTGCATGTGTTACTACTAGGTAGTAAGTATGCATAAACTAATAACATAAGCATGCTTACTACCTAGTAGTAGCATATAGCTTAGTAAGTAACTAGGTATTTTTAATAAGGACCGTTATAATAAGGACTACGGTAAATTTTGGAAAGAATTTAGTAAATTAAACTTTAAGCGTAAGGGTGCGGCCAGAGTGCACTCAGATTCAGAGTCAGATTCAGATTCTGAAAACAAGCGCGAGAAATAAACAGTGTAGTCTAAAGCAGGTTGCCTGCTTTTTCTCGCGCTTTGTTTTCTGAGTCTGAATCTGAATCTGAATCAGGAGTGCAATCTGGCCGTACCCTTCGACTACACTGTTTATTTCTCGCGTTTGTTTTCGAAATCTGAATCTGAGTGCACTCTGGCCGCACCCTAACATTCCCGTTTCAATAAATGGGTGTCAGCAGGATCACAAAGAAATTGATACAATGTTTGCAAATTTGTTTAAAATTGACAGCCCTAACATTGCAAGTACTGACGGGGTCAGTCGTGGAACGAAGACTTGCATGTCGAAACCGCTCCAGTTATCAATGCCGCCCCTGTGCTTTGATGCAGAGGAAGTTTGGAAATACGTTTTGAAAATGAAACATGGCAAGTCTCCGGGCCACGACGACGGGCTCAGTATTGAGCATGTCCTGTACGGAGGGCCATTGCTGTTTGAAAAATTATCTATTTTTTATTATATATATGCCTTCAACATGGATATCTTCCCAATAATTTAATGAAAACCATTGTTGTGCCAATAGTTAAAAACCGAACTGGAGATCTGTCTAGTCTATCAAATTATCGCCCAATTTCTTTAGCAACTGTCCTTTCAAAAATTTTAGAAAGATTAATATATCCAAATATTACAAATAATATCAATTTAAGTAATGCACAGTTCGGATTTCGAAATGGATTATCAACTGAAATTTATACAATTTTTTTTTTCCTAAATGGCTTCACACGTGATGTGCATTTAGCCAATGTCAAGTGTTAAAATGTTTACAAATTCTATAGCACTCGTGGACAAAGTAAGTGGCAGTCAAGTCAATCCCCCTTTCCCTATGTTTCAGTAATTGTGTGGGGATTTACTGGAACGTCGAAAGACACCTTCCGCTATTTTCTTTCACTTGCCAACACTTGTGCATGTTCCCGAACACTTAGTGGTTAATAATCCACCATTATTAGACACTAACATCCGCCACAACACATTTTTAACAAGAAAAACAAAACTGCTAAAGTGACGCTTTCCGATACCGCCAAAAAGTCCTAATACAATGTCTAATACAATATGCAATAATGATTGACAGTTAAATGACATAGAATAATGTATGCTATTAATAATGTTTAATTTAAATTTTCACGAAACGTAAGTGGGTATAATTGCAATTAATAATCTATGGGACATGTATTTGAATGCCTGTGCCTGAAATAAAAATGATTTATTATTATTATTTAAAACAAAACATACTTTTAATTTAACGAAGTAATAGATTTCGTTTGCGCATTTTTTATTAAGAATGCCATTCCATGGACACGAAAATGTTTCTCTAGTTCCTCAGAGTCCACAAACCTCTCCCTACATATTCTACATTGATTTTCTTCAACAGGCATATCACAATTTGGATCTTGTTGAATATTTAAAGCATCATTATTGTAACACTGTTTCTTCTCGATGTAATCATCAACATCAGTTATTCCATGTTTTAACAACAGATGAGTCGTAAATGATGGTTTTACCACAAAACATTCACAACATTCCAAACACTGATATGCCATACAAGGATCTCTGTGACTTTTGATATGACCCTCTAAATCTTCTTTTGATTTGCACTTACATTGACATTTAATACAAATCAGATCAGAATTCACTGCACCTACAGAATCTTTATTATTCTCATTTTTTGTGATACCCTTTTTTGGTTCGTCGTGATTTATTTTATTCCTCTTTCTGATTCTTCGATTTTTGGTAGCTGTGATATTTTTTCGCTTTCTGTTCCGTTTTTTCTTAATTTTAATATCAATTTTTAGCAATGATACTTTACCATCCAAGCATTTATGATTTTTGTGATACAAAGCAAAATGTGTTTTAACATCTTGCCAGTTTTCGTTTATTCTTTCTTGACATAAAGGGCACATTATATTAGTCGACATTTTCTTATGAGCTCTTTTTAATAAAGATTGCGAGGAAGAGCTACATTTATATGGACAAGAATTAGGCAATATTCCGATATCTTCAAAATTACATTTATAAGTAAAACTCCTCAAACATAGATCACATCTCTTAACAACACGGAAAATATTTGGTGCAATAGACTTTGCATTATTTTTACATTTTACTATGGATGTTTTTAACGCTTTTTTTAATTTATCCGCCATAGCATTATTGGATGTCACGTGTTGATTGATATGATGCTCCACAAGAAGAGGAATACTTTTGTATCGGGTGCCACAAGTCCAGCACGGGTAAACGTTAGTATTAATATGTGTTGTAATATGGCTCTCTAAGTGGCTCTGGAGAACTAATCTGCCTGGACACATATCACATTGATAAAATAACAATATGTTATTAATATTGGTAGTTTGTTGAGGTTGGTGAATTTCTAAATGTTTGGAAATAGTTGCCTCACTGAAGCAAGCAACTACACAATGTGGACATTTAAAAACTTTTTTCATGTGATTAGTTCTCAGGTGTTTCTTATAGTCATGAGGATGAAAAAGGCTTGACTGACATTTGGGGACAGAACATTCTAATCTTACTGTAGCCCTCATCATGTTGAAGCCCTCACAACCGTGGTTGAATGGGTAATTTTCAATTTTATTGGGTAATTGATTTCCACATTCAGGGCAATAATAAGGTGGGTTTTTAAGATGAACACGTAAATGAGATTTGAGCGCACAAATTGTGGGCATTGTTAGTAAGCAAACTGGACAAGAATGGAAACTTATTGTGTATTTCATGTAATGAATAGCACGGTCTTTGTTTGCAGATCCATTAGAAGTGGTTATATCTTCATTACACTCAACACACATAGTGCGGGTCGCTGGCTCTTTTGTTTTTCCGGATTGGGCATTTTGTGGTTGTAATGCTTCACTTATTTTGAAGAAGCTCATGGGCAGTGGTTCAATCATCAAATCTGAACAGTTGATAGTCGCAGTTTTGAAAGAATGGGATCTTATGTGCGCTAGTAAATTACATCTGTTATAGAAAACCTTTTGTTGAGACGTACTGCATCGCCGACACGTATAACTTATTTTTACAGATTTCCGATTGATATGATCTAGATAACTGCATTCCAACGTGAACCTGCAAAATACAAAATAGTGAGTTAGTAACTAACTTCTTATTTTAAACATTTAACTACGGGACACGAACCCGCACCGTCCTCGAACCAGGCGGGTGCACTGACCAATAATAACTAACTTTATATCCTTAAAATTATTATTTATATTCGATGTAGTTCATACAGGAGTACATTGGGAATTTGAGTAAAAAATATTATATTCATCTTTTGTCTTATAAATAAAAATAATTAATTATTAAATGTAATTGATAGTTAAGGTCTGCGACTAATGGATGAGGTTAAGTATCAAGTAATTATTAAGATTGTTAAGCAAAAACTTTTTGTCTAGAGTACTTGGGATGGCACTTTTACTACTCACAGCCGGTATTAATTGTATGAGCAGATATAATTAGGTACTTGATATGATATCTAAACAGTCTCCATGAGATGGCAAATCATATTTTTTGCTTGAATTAGAACGCCCGTATGGGAAAAACCTCCACTTTATGCCAGCTTTACCTTACATTCCGTATAAAACATGATAAGGATACTCTACTGCATTGATTACAAATAGCAAATACGAATATCCATTATACTGTGCAGTGCTAGCCTAGCAAAAGAACATTGCGAAATATCACTACTTGTTGATGGTATGGTGTTGTGATAGTATCGGCTATTTTTACAGCTTTTCCACTTTCTCTAAATATTGAGTAGCTTTGTCTAAATGTGTATACATAATTATACAAAGCACACTTTCTTGTTCTGTAGACAAATAACTATTAAAAATATTTTACCTGTCTCCGCAATCAATGCATCCGTACAAGTTCTGGTCAGTTTTAGGCTCTTTAATTTTATATGGAGGTATAGCCCGGTAAAATAGCATGTTTTTTATGCTGTACGTCTCATTCATCTGATCAACGTCCATTTTGTGGAATGATGATTCCTGTAAAAAAAACATTAATTAGTAACAATTTGCTTCCATTGTCCCATAATGACCTCCCCCCCTACTCTAGATACGGCCCTGTCTGTATAGCTACCACGTTACTACAGTGCGATCTTTAGGTCGTTTAGCATCAAATAATCTGTAAGTGTGATCAAGGTTGAAATAGGATAGATTAAGACCGTGTAAAAAGAAAACCCAATTTATTTATACATTTTGTACACAAATATAAATAGAAAGAGATTACAAAATACGATAATAGTACAAGGGCACAGCTTATTTCAATCTGAAATTTCTTCCAGCAGGCCCATTGTAGGAAAGCACATTAAAAAAGGCAGTAAGTGTGTACACCTAATTATGATTAATGTGAATAAAGCGAAAGATGTGTGTACTTGTGTATACAGATCATGTCTTATGACGCTCTATTTTTTCTGCCGATACCTACCCCACGCGGTATTCGGCATGAAGATAGATAGATAAATCAAAACTACGGAAAAGTACACATTAATTTTCTCTGTGCTTTATTACTAGCCCACGGAATATTTGATTTCTCTTCTGCGGCCTTGCCATTGTGGCACCGAGACGGACTAAAATCTTATATAATAGTCGGGAAGAGTGAGCTCACTCTTTTCGTCTCAGTGGTCTGTAGAAAGCAGTAAGCGGTGCACGTTGTTTAAATTTCTTTGATTTTGGTAATAAGATTCTCAAACCCTCATGGGAACTACATTTCATGCGTGTGTAAGTAGGTACCTCCGGCCCGATAAAATATTTTACTAAAATCCTAACCCGAAAATATGCTTAGTTTATAGATGCACGTAGAAGAAATGTCGCTATCTCCATCATATTTGTGCAGTGATTGCGATAAGGATCTTTATGAATGTGAGTGACAGCAGGGGGGATGGTGCTGCTTTAAAAAAAAAGTATTTACGACCTGGAAACAGACTGATTCAGTCAATAATATTGTAAGGTATAATGGTATAATATTATAATTTTAACTTATAATTTACTTAGCTAATTTTTAGAGGAGATTATAATAAAATAACATTTAGGTTGTTTTTACATTTTCAAATATTACGAGTTAGGTGTTGGTCTTGTTACTTACATGGTTCTGCATGTTACATATAAATGTACACTAAATTCAAAGAAAAGTACCTATCATGCTAAATGATTAAAGTACTACAAAATCTCCCGATTTTTAGGGAACTTATCTTGTTCTATATTATATTTATTACGAAAAAATTACGTTAAATACTAAGAATTTAACTATATAGGGTGAAATTGAATGTTTCTATGAAACTTCGTGAGATTGTTGGGTTATGTGTATAGAGTATGCCTGTTTTTTTTCGGATTTTTTTGAAGTATTTTTTTTTCATGTTTTTATTTATAATTTGTGTATTTTTATATCCTTTCCTCCTTTTGAGTAGTTATTCATTTTAAACAAACAAACTTACATATCCAGTGAAAAATAACTAATAAATAAGTACTTCTAAAAAATGGAAAAACATTAAAATTCCACGGCGGGTCAACGACCAACCGCGCCCGCCAGCCGTTGAGTGAGTAGGTACACAGAGTTCAGTTGACTCCTTTGATTCCACACAATACAATAAAGTCGTCTTAGATGCCTTTATTGAAATAATAAGCACAAATGTCATCTTCTCTTAAGCAGAGAAAAACTTTAAAAGTTAATAATAATTTTGTCACAATTAGAAATAGGCAAATGTTAAACAAAAAGAAATACTTATTGCAGTTCAATACTTGGGTGAAATTTATAACCCGGTATTCAAAAGTACTTACGATACCGATGTACCTATTCATTTTTTTCACTTAAACTTCCCGTATACACTTTGTAAACACAATCAATCACCAAACCTACTTTCGTAAAGCCTTGTGGCTCTGCTGAGTATTCCGTGACACTACAATAACAACACACCATATCCAATTTCTTATATTGAGGCCACAGAACAAGAACTAATCATGCCATTATTTGCAAATCTTCTCTTGTCACAAATTTAAAAGATACGCACGCGCGGTGGATAAACTTGACACTGCGCTCGCTCACTGCGCTTTGCACCGCGCATAGGTAGGTATTCAACCGATTCAACGGCGGGAGCGGTCATTGCTCCCGACCGCTCGTCTTCTGTTTTTACGTTTTTTTAGTAGTGCTAATTAGTTGTTTTTTACTTACTCTGTATGCGTGTTTAAAAAGAATAATTATTTAGTACCCAAAAGGAGATTAAAATATAACAAAAGAAAACGAAATTTTATTTTAAATCATTTTTAAAAAATACCGAAAAAATTCAGAGATACTCTATATACGTAACCCAATAATCCCACGAAGTTTCATTAAAACATTCAATTTCACCCTGTATATACATATTTATGCTTACCATTTTTTTATTAATGAATAAATTTTCTATATTTAATAGCAGGTACCGCATTTATCTTTATAAAAATTATAAAAATCTTTTTTTTAAAATGCCTATATTGCCTATAAAAATCTTAGTAGGATAAATCTTTGTTGTTTTATTAATAAAATGCCTATATTATACAATGGTGTCGCCTATTTCAATATCTTATGTTAATAAGCAATAATGTGACCAAATTTTTTTAAGAAAAGAAAACAATTTACGTATTGTTTTATTAATGAAATACCTATATTGTACAATGGTTACGCCTATTTCAATATCTTATGTTAATAAGCAATAATGTGACCAAATTTTTTTAAGAAAAGAAAACAATTTACGTATTGTTTTATTAATGAAATACCTATATTGTACAATGGTTACGCCTATTTCAATATCTTATGTTAATAAGTAATAATGTGACCAATTTTTGAAGTTATACTTCTTTAGGCGCGTTATGAAAAAATGATGAGAGTGAAATTTTTAGATGCGCGCGCATCACTGTAACCCAAAAGTAACAGCATGAAGTTGGCCGCGGGCGCGTTATGAAAAAATCATGTGAGTGAAATTTCGAGATGCGCGCGCATCACTGTAACACAATAGTAACACCATGAAGTTGGCCGCGGGCGCGTTATGAATGTTAGTTAGAACCACTTAGTGGTTAATAATTCACCATTATTAGACATCTGTTCGAAAGGTACTTTGAACGATCCACGGAGCTCCATAAGATGATCGCGTTGTCAAAAACAATGTTGGCACGCTCGTCGCCTCTGATCACTGTTTTCATATTTATAATATTTATCCACATGTTTCTAGTTTCTATATAGACACAACGTGTTTTAGTTACTTACAAGTGCTAATAACATATGGACTAATAACTTAAATTCAGTAGTGATTTTAATTGAATATTTTGAATATTTATTTAATTTTTCAAATTAAAACTGAACTTAATTGACTGTGTTAACTATCCTTTTCCAGTCCTTTTATTATTTTATTGTAATTATTAATTATTTGCATGCAATTAAAAAAAATTTTTAATGATGCTAAAGAAGTATAACTTCTCAGGTACATAAGTTACACGCATCCATTTTTTTTAAAAAGAAAACAATTTACATACATAATCATCAAGATAAATACGGTACCTGCTATTAAATATAAGAAATTTATTCAACAATAGAAAAATGGTTAGCAAATATTTTATTTATTATTTATTTACTTGTTGCATTTCATTTTGTGTTAATTTTTTACTCCTTACTTCCAGAAACTACCATTAGCTCCATGGGGCGATCCACTGAGAAGTACTGGCAATACAAAATATGACGTTTAACAATGATGGGTAATGAATCTTCGGCCAATGAAGTTTTAAAGGTACCTAACGGTAACCATTAAATACCGTTAGTATATCACTTCCTTGTCTTCGCCACATTCAAAGAGATAATTAAAAAAAAAGTTGACTAATTTTATTATAGAGAATCAAAAATAGTCGAAGACGTGGCTTAAAGAACCAGCATCCAAGCCATAAAATTATTAAAAAAAGAATTCTTACATCAGTACTTAATCTTTAATTAAAATATATTTAAATAAAATGAATTCGAATTTTAGATTAAAAGTAAGCAACTATTTTTGAATCTGAAATAGTATTTTTCATATCCATTGAAGTGTTCATGGAAGAAGGTATCTTTTTCCATCCTGGCAACAAAATATAGAAATAATTTCTTTCCTAGTATTTGCAGAATTTATTGTGTGTAAAAAAAGCAAATAAAGTACTATTATACACAAGTAAGGTATGAGAATAAGATGCAATTAAAGCAAGTTTATAAAGAAGAAAATAGATACAGGAAGAATTATTAGGTAAGTAATGTGTGAGCAATAAAGCAATAACACATTATTGTTTTGCCCCTTTTCCAATGAAAATATATTTTGACGCACCACAGTTTTATAAGGTATTAAGTTCAGCTAAATTACTACGACAATCAAGATTTGTATATGGCGATTTATTGTTCCCTGTGTGGGAAAGAAAGGAAATTAATAAAAAAATAATTTTAAAAAGCCAACACTTGTTTTTTAGTAGAATGGCAACATTCAAGTTCCGAAATGCCTTCCCTCAAAGAATATCAATCTGCGTGTATGCATTTAATCTAGAAATCAAAGAGATCTAGGTAGTGACCTGGTCAACATTAACTTACCTGAGAAAAATTGTGAAATCTTGTTAACAAAACATTTCGTTTTAAATAGTTTTTTAATTGTAAACACTATCTGCACCACCTTTGTGGATGATTCAATTCAATGACAGCAATGACAAACA